AGATCGATGGCAACGTCACCATTGCCATTGCCTGGGCCACCCGCTGCGCTGTCACCGTGTTGCTGCATGGCCTGCTGCGTGCTCATGAGCGTGGGCATGTCGGACATGCCGCCGGCGCCCATACCGTCAAAGCCCTTGCCGGAGAACTCTGACCGGCGTTGCCGGGCGGCTTTCAGATTGGCGGTTCGTTGCTACGACAAAGGGGCTTGATCAGCATCGAGTCGGGACACAGTTGTGCCATGGGCGCGGCATCCCAACGCGAGGTCGGCAGCCACCTCACCTCAAGAGTCTTTTTGAATTTTTCCGTGGCTGACTTGAGGCGCTTGTTTAGCGACGTGACGATGGTGTTGTGGTGCACCTGCGCCATGCGTGCGAGGGGTGGAAAGAAAATTGAGAAGAGAATCGCGATGCGGCGATCGGAGAAGAGACGGAGCACTGAGATGGCCAACCTTTTTGTGTTCGCTCCAGCGATTGTTTTCCTTCTTGACGTGCTCCTGCAGCTTTTTAACCGCCCTAGAGAAAAGTCGGAACGGTGGTGGCGTGTCCAACGTCAAGGAATCGAGGGTTTCCTCAAACCAGAATGTGCTGCTGGCAGGCACAACACAACGGGCCGACCGCCCAAGACAGAAGCACCGCGACTCACAAATTGAGTTGCCCGAGCTCCTCTTTGATGATCGAGGTGAGCTCTTGAATTTCTACGGGCCGGTCTCCAAACATGCCCTTGTTCTGAGATACTGTGGTTACGCACCAACATCGTCCGCAGAGAGGAGGATGAGAGATATCGCAGAAGCTGCACAAATCGGGCTGGTCAAGCAGAAGGAAACGCACGGAGCTGGAGCTGGTGCAGTTTGTTGTGACATTCTGTGATGCCTTTGTTGATGTTGCTGCACACCGAAAGGGGCCAGGTCAGGACGGTGAGCGGTAGTGGGGCACAGAACCACTCAAGCGCCAATCCACTCACTTGGCTGTGATGAACAACTGGGTCTTTGGTCGCTCCTCCTGACGGCCACCCTGGGATGGGGTACCAACGAGCAAGGCAGTGAGGGATTGGAGCATGGGCAGGCGGGAGCACGGAGTGGCATAGATCTAACCACGCTGGCACGAAGAGCCTGGACAGTAGCCTGAAACTCGCGACTCCGGTCCTGCATGGTGACTGGTGTGGCGTGCGAGCGTGCGGTTGTCACCTCCAACTATGAACGAGGGGCGGTCATTGACAAAAAATCTTTGAGCGGTGGCTTCGTCGTCACCAGTCGTAGCTTCAACAAGATCAAGATCCCACGCAGGCACAACACATCAACACCATGGCCCAACCCGGAAAAGCCATGCCCTGATCAACACAAGCCTTCTTCCCCCTCCAAGGTCCTGCTGCCACCGCTGCCGCTGCCCACTTCTTGCTCGTGCAAACCACGCTCGTTTCTCAGTGATTTGAGGCCAAAGTCAGTCCCGGCAGACATTCAAAACTCACCGCCTTGGCTCTGAAATGCAATCACACCAAAGACTCGCTCCTTGAATCCAATCCACCAGGACCCACGCACGGCCCGTTGCAACCCGACACCCCCACGCCTGCGACCCGTACCATCCGACGCTGCCGTTCGAGTGTGTGTGTGTGTGTGTGTGTGTGTGTGTGTGTGTGTGTGTGTGTGTGTGTGTGTGTGTGTGTGTGTGTGTGTGTGTGTGTGTGTGTGTGTGTGTGTTCGCCACGTCGAAAAGAAATTTGCGAACACAGTGACAATGGTTTGTTAAATGTCAATGTCAGATTATTTTATGGGCAGCTCAGCCACACTTGCACAACGGAAATCGCACACCAGCAGCCTCTTCCATATGCGGGGCCAGCAGTTACAGGACCACACCTTGCTACCCGTAGCACCACACCTGTGGTCATTTTGACACGCTCGACCATGGTGGCACGATTGGAGTACGAGGCCTCAGGCCCGGCCGTCGGCAGCGCCAAGTATCGCCGTACCGTGCTGTTCCTGCATGGATGGTACGTGGGTTTCAGCCTGGCTTTGTAATGGCATGCATGGCCTTTGCCAGTGTCTTTTTTTGTACGAGCGAGAAGTGTTGATCGTGGCTGGGTGTGTGAGGCGTCTGGTCCTGTGAGGGGGCGTGGCATCGGGACTCACCGCGGTGTCCCCATGGGGACGGCGGCAACATTGGTGGTGGACGACGTTAGGCCCGACAATGCCAGCTTGTGGGATCCAATGGTGGCTCAGTTTGAATCTGAAGGCTATTATTGCGTGCGCGTTCACTACCCCAACGCCAGCGGCCACGTTACCCTGCCATGGGGCCTTGACTTTGACCAGGTAGGCCGAGTCCAGAGCGGGGTCTCTGTTTGGAGATGGTGCATGCCCACTCTCAGTGTGTATTGGCAGCATTCAGGCAATTCTGGCAGGTGTCCTCGGGCCCTCACGTCCGATCTGCATGTCTACTCGCCGATTGCTGTCCCCAGATGGCAGACGCGCTCCACGAGCTGATTTCGCGGCCCGAGATCGCTCAGGGACCCGTGGATGTGGTGGGCCATGACTGGGGTGCCGTCTACACGTACTCACTGGCTGGCAAGTATTCCGACTCGGTGCGCCGAGTTGTGACTGTGGACGTCGGCGCCATTGTTGGCCAACCCCCACCGCGCGCCGCCCTCTTCGTGCTTGCCTATCAATGGTGGTTGACAGCAGCATTTTTGCTGTCCAAGCTGCCCCTTCTTGGCGTCTCCATCAGCAAAGTCATGACGGGCCTCTGCGCCTCCTATGTCAAGGCTCCCCATCAAGGTTCCTGGCAAACGGGCCTGATTGATTTCCCCTACTACTATGCTTGGAAGGGGATTCTCTTTGGTGGCCCTTTGCCGGGTCTGTTGCGCAGCTTTGACCTGGCACGTCATCCCACCCTGTACTGCTACGGTGGCAAAAAGGTGGGTCTCCAAAGGGCTCCTTCGCATGCCCCCATTGCGGCGCCGATGCACATGAAGAGTCTTTTGTTTGTGTGCGTCCCCTGCAACAACCACGCGCTCTCGTTCACCGGCTTGGCTGGTGTGACGCTTTGCCTGCCTCGCACAGCCCTTCCATTTTCACGCCCCCAAGTGGATTCGTCTTGTCCAAGAGCAAGCCGATTGCGAGGTGGGTCCATTCTGCATCCGCAACCTGGGCCCCGGCTTCTTTTGCGGCCCTTATACTTGTATCGGGGGGAAACTGGCTGTAGGTGCGTGAGTTCAACACAGGACATTGGGTCACGGTTGACGCAAGCGAGGACTTTGCATCAGCGGCCCTGGAGCACCTCAGCAAGTGAGCGCCCATGTCCATGACACCCTGCCGTTCCGAGCAGTCTGGTGTCTGAGGAGCGCGAGGCCCGGTCTCGCCTGGTCCCCTTCTGGGCTCATGGAACGCCACCTTGAGTGGAGGTGGCGAATTGACGTGTTCTCGGCATCCCCAACGTTCCACTTCACAATAGTAGCCGACTTTGCTGGGTGCCTTGCCCAAACACCCCACTCCCAAGAGGATCATCTGCACATGGGCCAGGATCCTGGCCACACACACACACACACACCCACTCATCGGCGAGGCATAGGTCGCTGCGTTGACCAAAACAGCAACTCATCACCTCAATCCCGGTCGAGACTGGAAAACTTCAAGGAGACTCGTGCCCGCTGAACCTTCCAAAAGTTGTCGTGGATGGAAAACATGCTCAGAGAAACACGCGTGGGTCTTGAAATATATTTTTGCTATGTTTTGACCCCCGTTGAATTTGAATAGCGCATAACCACAAAAATCTTTCCCATCTGATTCACTTTTTGTCCACGAGCCGACCGTCACGGTACGCGCGTCGCTCTCCCTCTCTCTCTCTCTCTGTCGCGCCGCTCGCTCTCGCTGGCTGTTGCGTCGAGCGGCAGCCCGTGTGATTCCAAAAGGGCAGCCAGGGTGTGCTTGGAAGATGATTCAAGGAGATACGTTTCCATCCACACATTACTATCCATGATGAAGAGGGAGCTTGATCATTGTCGACGCTGCGTTGGGCGCACCGCTTACGACTTGCGATGACCGGCGCCTCGAGCCGAGCTCGTGTGCTGTTGGCGTCGTGAGCTCGTTTCGGCCAGGGCAATCATGGGCCAACCGTGCATGTTCATGCCTCTTGACCTGTGGTGTATGCTGAGGATGATGGAAACGTGATCATGGGTAGCTGGGTCGGGGCAAACGGGTCCGCGGGGTCGTGCTTGCTCGAGCCAACTCGACCACGAGCCTGTGCATCCAACCTTGTGAAGGCTCGGCTTTGCCAGGCATCCCTCTTCCTACTCTCCCGCCTGTCTTGACGCAGCGTCGGCAACATTGATGGTCAAACAACACACATACTCATACATGGCAGCCGTCAGATGTTTCTTTCTTGTACAAACGCGTGTGGACTAGCATCTGGTCACATCATCTGGTCACATGGCTTTGCATCGCAACCCCGGCTTGCTCACCTGGCTCTTTCACTCTGTGCGCTTCCTCTCGTATGTCGTGCGGTCGGTTGATTGCGATAACGTGCGGTTCATGATCTTCAACTGTTTTAGATGGTTGTGCTGCGCCTTCAGAAGGTGTGTAGCTTTTGTTGCTTTTTGCCAACTTCTGTTAATTGGGGACTGCCTTGTCTAGCCTGTGCAGATCGAGTGGCAAACATTGTTGGGTGTCACCTGCATGCTCATGTGGTTTGGATTTTTTTGTTTTTTGCATTTTCAATCGTGTAGCGCTTGGCCGCTAGCGTCCTCAAGTGCGGCAAGCGTAAGATTTGGCTTGACCCCAACGAGACCCAGGACATCTCGCACGCCAACAGCCGTCAGCAAGTCAAGAAGCTGATCGCGGATGGCTACATCATCCGTCAGCCTCAGGTCGTGCACTCGCGCTCGCGTGCGCTCCGTCACGCCGCTGCCGTGCGCAAGGGTCGTCACACCGGCCATGGTAAGCGCAAGGGTACCGCCAACGCGCGTATGCCCGTGAAGGTGCTCTGGATGCGCCGCCAGCGCGTCCTTCGTCGTCTTCTCCGCAAGTACCGTGCCACGAAGAAGATTGACAACCACCTCTACCACGAGCTGTACATGCGCAGCAAGGGTAACGTTTTCAAGAACAAGCGTGTCCTGATGGAGTACATCCACAAGCGCAAGGCTGAGGACTCTCGTAAGAAGCTCCTCTCCGACCAGGCCGAGGCTCGCCGCCAGCGCGTTCGTGCTGCTCGCGAACGTCGTGCCGACCGCGTCCAGAAGCGCCAGCAGGAGCTCATCTCCGAGGCCGTCAACGCCGAGAAGAAGAAGTAAATGGTTGGCTTACGGGCCCGTGTGTCTATGGTCGGGGTTTCATGTTACCAGGACGTGGTGCGATGCCTTGAAATGGATGCATTCTCACAGACTTGCCACCCTTTTTTCTCCTTCACTTTACACTCCTTCATTTTCCCATTTGCTTTGCATGCACAAATATCTTTTGGTTCTTTTCCATCATGATCCACCACAAATAATTGCTCCTGTCACATGGGGTATTGCAAAGAGAGTCAAACCACCGCGAACTTTTTTTTTTTTTTAAGAAAGGGTTTGGGGATTGGAAACGGCACAAGAACGCGTTGCAAACAGCATGACCAACCATAGCGCGCGCACAAAGGAGAAGACAAGCAAGCACTCCCAACGGGAGCGCATTCGCAGCGAAGCAATCTATGCCACCTCAACGCTCTCGACGACGCGACTGACGGTAAGGTGGCAGACGTTGCCAGAAGCCTGCAGGAGATTGACGATTTCATGGTGCTGAAGTCCACTCAGCTCATGTCCATTCACCTCCACAATCTAAGCAATGATGACGGTGACCACAAGGTCGCAACAAAGTGATATGGTGACCAATTTGTGTGAGCAACACGTTGGATCTTTTGACAAAAGTATGAGAGCAGGGAAACGTAGAAATAATTCTCAAGGTAATCAGCCAACACACCTTGTCCCCGAGCTGGAGACGACCATCCTTCTGAGCTGTGCCGTCGTCCAAAATTGAGGTGATGTACACACCGTCATCACCTTCCTCAACCGGCTGGTCCACGCCACCCACGATGCTAAAGCCGAGGCCCTGGAAGTTGGTTTCCAGGTCAATTTGCAGAAGCTGCTCGGGGGCCTCGTCGTTGGCTGGCAGACGAGCCAACTTGAGCGTCACGCTGCCGGCACACGCGCGCAGCACATCCACCACCTCGCCATGGGTCAGGCCTGTTAGGCTACGACCGTTCACTTCCAGCAACTAGGCACAAAACAAGGTACCACCCCACGTTGGTCAGGCATTCATGATTGTGTAGTCAGGAAAATATGTTCGCCAAAACGTGGTGCAATGGGCCTGAACCCCCAAGAACTGACCTGGTCGCCAAACTGAATGCGCCCATCAATGCCAGCAGGACCGTCCACGGTGATGTCGCTGATATAAATGCCCTCGTCTCCCGGCTCGATGCAATCGTCCGTGCCACCGGCGATGAAAAAACCGAGGCCCTTCTCTGGCGACTTGTCCAGAGTGATGACGAGAATGTTCTCCTCCATATCTTGTTGAGACGCTATGTCGTCCGTCATGCGCGACACCACCATCTTGATGCTGGCGCCACACGATTGAAGCACGTGGACAGCTTGCTCGTGTGTCACATTTTCCAAATCTTGACCATTCACGTCCAAGATCTGAAATTCGTGCGCGGCAAAGCCTCCAAAATGAGAAAAGGTCGAGCGGGCCAGCCTTGCACATGTCATTGCTGGTAGGAGGATATTAAAAAAAAAAAAAAAGAGAGAGAGAGAGAGAGAGAGAGAGAGAGAAGCAACAAGTCTCGATGACTGCGCGGCTGACCTTGTCACCACGACGAAGACGGCCATCACGATCAGCCGAACCACCCGGAATCACCTATCACACGCACACACAAGTTACATGAGTGGATGATCGAACAACGCCGCTGGTGACCACGTGCAGGTGTGACTCCTGAGGTGGTTGATAAATCTGCCACGCTTGGTCCCCATCATTCCCAAACTTATGCCCAACCCTTCATGATTCATACACCCAGGCATCCACCTCAAAGTTCTTCATCAAAAAACCCGGTTCGTTCAGCGCACCTGAATGACGTAAATGCCGGGGTCCGAAGGGTCCGAGGGGTCGTCGAGGCCACCGGCAATGCTAAAGCCGAGACCGCCGGGGCCCTTGGCAAATTCAATCTCCACGACCTCCTCGAGTGCCGCATTGCGCAGCAAGACGAGGTCAGCGCTGGCCATGTTGAGGCGCAGCGCATCCACAGCCACCTGACGGGGAACCGCCTCCACGTCAACGCCGTTGATCTTCAACAGGCGATCACCTTGCTGCAACCGACCGTCGGCAGCGGCTGCCCCATTTTCCACGAGGGAGCTGACGTAGAGCCCGACATCACCCTCCATGACGGGATCCTCGGTGCCTCCGGCAATGCTGAAGCCAAAGCCTTCGGGACCCCGCGCCAGCGTGACATGAACAAGCTGCCAACTGTCTGGCGAAACGGAATCATCGTCGTCGAGGCCACGCTCAACCACCAGCTCGCAGCGCTCTGTGACGCCTTGGAGGATGCGCACGGCTTCGCCATGGGTGATGTTCCACATGGAATGACCGTTGACCGAAATGAGCTTGTCGCCCATTTGCAGGCGCCCATCAGCAGCTGCCGACCCATTTTCCAACACGGCCGTGACGTAAACGGCAACATCATCCTCCTCAATGGGGATATCGGTTCCGCCTGCAATGCTAAAGCCGAGGCCAGAAGGGCCCTTGGGAAAGGCGATTTCCAGGAGTTGAGGTTGCTGTGCTTGGTCGTGTTCGGCTTCAGGGCGCGCAGTAGTGGGGGCACCGGCCTCGACTGCGGCCTGTCGCCCAATCAGCAAGGTGATGGGATCACCGGCGTTGGATAGGAGCTCGACGGCGCGAGCGTGCGTAATGTCCTCCGTGGAGGCGCCTTGCACAGCAAGGATGGAGTCGCCAGCCTGCAAGCGACCGTCACTGGCCGCCACCCCTCCGTCGATAACCTCGGTAATGTAGAGGCGCGTGTCGGTGCCATCCGTGGGCTCGTCCACGCCGCCAGCTACGCTGATCCCGAGGCGCTGGCCGTTCTTGTGCAGCACCACTGTAAAGGTAGTCAGGTCGGCCGATGCCGACTGAGCGACCAGGGTGGGTGTACTGTCCTCGATGACATTGGAACTGACCTGTTGCTGAGTTGTTGCATGAACTTCAGTGGATGATCGGGGCGCGTCAACCACGGGGACACTGTGAGTGGCTTGCGCCGGTTTCAGGGTAACTTCATTGACCACGTCCATAGTCTCCATGTTGGCGTGGTTGGAAAGGCCTGAGGCACGCCGAACCACCGAACCCGACATGGAATCAGAGCGCAGTTCAAGTCCATTTTCACGAGAACGGCCCCGCAGGTTGGCAATGGTATCAGCCATGAGCTGCTTCTCGACTTCGTAACCTTCACGCTCGGCCTCAACCTCGGCCTTGACGGTGCTGAGCTCGCGGCGACTGGCACGCAACTGCGCCTCGAGAGACTGCACCAGTGATTCTTGATGAGTGGCATGACGCTGTGTAGCATCGAGCTGGCGAGCAAAGTCTTGCACAAGCGCCACGAGTTCGGGTACAGAGAGCTCTGATAGGGCGCGTTGAGATAGATCGCGTTGGCTGTTGTTCGTGGGCGCATCGGCATTCAGGGCGGCAGACGAGGCCGTCTCAATCATGTGCATCAGGCGCAAGCTGGCCGAGGATGCCGCCGTATCCTCCGATCGCTGACCACCATCGAAAAGGATCATGAGGGGAAACGATAACACCAGGGATCCAGGGGCGGTGCGATGGAACGTGGTGGTGGCATCGAACAAACCTTGGAAGAGCGGCGTCGGTGGGCAGGGGCTCCGCTGGCGGTAGACATGCGCGGTTTGGCGGGTGAATCGGGGTCTGTGGCGTTGGCGCTGGCGCTGGACTGTGCGTCGCCGTTGATTTCAGCCAGACTATTCTCCTGAATTTCGTCCTGCGTGCCATCGGTGGTGCTCTCGGCCAGGGCAGCGACGCGGTCCCACAGGGAAAGGACCTTGCCCGGGGCAGATTGGACAGCAATTTCGTCCATGGCTTGGAGAGCAAATTTGATCGTCTCCAGCTCGTCGAGTAAAGCGTTGGTGTCCCGGGTCGCCTGGAGCTGACTGTACTCGGCAGCCAGGTCAGAAGCGGTGAGGGCCATTTGCTTTCTCATCTGTTCCATTTGGCCCTTGCATTGCTCGAGCTCCTTCTGGGCTTGACCGTGAGCCACTTCGGCCGTGAGCTTGCCAATCTCCATGTTGGCAGCCTTGCGGCGCTCCTCGACCAACTGAGAGCGCAGCTCAGCTACAGTGCTCTCTGTGGCGCGGGCTTGTGCCGAACCTCGGCGTTCGATTTCGCTAAGCTGGCGCTGCAAGCGCGGCGCCTGTTGCGGTGAAGCGGGATTGGCCGTCGCTTGGCTGACGGGCCATGAGCGAGCAGCAGAGTAGTACGCGAGGTTATTGCGATAGGATCGAGCAAGAACAAGAGCAAGAGCAAGAGCAAGAGCGTGAGCCGAGCAGAGACCCAAACAAGACCAGCTGGGTGCAAGCAACGGGACGGAAAGAAAAAAAAAAAAAAAAAAAAAAAAAGACAGACTGGCCGCCCCACCAAGCAAGCCAAAATTGTATTGGCTGGACTTGGTACAGGGAAACCGAATCCGGTACAATGGTGCATGGTGCAAGTGAAAACGCACCTGGTGAAGGACATGGTGCGACCGTGAAAGGTCTGAATGTCTGTCTGGCTGGGGTCAAGGCGGGTGGCGCGTTCGAGGGCATTGATAAAGGGGGATGCATCGGGCTTGCGTTTGAAGTGAAAGGCGTAGGCAATGTTGGTGTTAGCCGGGGAAGAAGTGGAGGGACCATGGTTGCTGGGTCTTGGCGAGTGTGGGCCGCGGACTGGCTGACTGGAGACGATAAAGGCAAACTTGGCGCCAATAACGGCAATGCTGGAAATGTCGGCAAGGGGGATGGCCAGAGCTTGGCCTCCACCCCGAGGCGCAGCCCGCAAGACCCCGTCCTTGGGAGCAAGGGTGAGGTGAAGGTCTTTGGAGAAACCTTGGCGATCCTCCTTTTTGCGGCTCTTCTCAAGCAAAAAGTCGGCGACCCAGGATTGTTGCTCAGATGCCTCCTCATCCACGACCTTGGTACCAAGAAACTTGACGGCCACGTCCTTGAACTCGGTAAAGCCTGGATGGCGCATAGGCGAGTGTAGCGTCATGTGACCGAGGCAGAGCGGAAAAAAAAGTTTTGGGCGTGAGACCAGAGGCGT